GGTCAACGGTTAAAAAGTCGGGTAATGGAAAGAAAATAGGGAAAAGACAAAGAAATCCGGTTCAATCACGGTTTTATTAAAAGGTCACGAGGTCGGCCTCTCGTACGAGGTCGGCGCTTGCGATATGCTTACAGTTTCTTACAAGAGTTCCTTACAAATCTAGAGAGAGAAAGTTTGAAAAGGGCTTTTTACAGTTGGGATTCAACAACCCAAAAATAAATGAGGGGGTTGCTATTTATAGGAGTCTTTAATGCGATACTGTTCAGGTACTGTTCACCAATCTTGTCGTACAGTAGTTCGGCGGGACAAGCCGAGGCTTCTCTGACTGATTGGGAGTGATTTCCGGATTTTCCAATCATTACCTGCCACGCATTTAATGTGAACATGGACTGCATTTAATGCGGACACGTTTTGGCTGAGTTAGATGTCCCATCGGCAATCATTTGTCGACAAGTGGCCTTATTTTATTGTGTTCGACACCGTATTCCTATCAGGGGCCGCCCTTGTAAGATTCCGAATTTGGTGCCGACCTCATAGCTGCATGGGTGTGGTGCCGAACTCGGGACCGGTTCCTCCCGCCGTTCCCGATGGCTTTAACTTTTTCTCAGCTCGGCACCCACGTGCGGTTTTGGTGACCGGCTCCTTCGGTTCGGCCGGCCATCGTTCGGCTTTCGATCTGTTAGACCGGTATCCTTATTGGAGCCGGGCTCGGATATTAACATACGGCGTTATAGATTTGGATATGCGAGTCGTAAACTATGAGAAAAATGTCGCATAATCATAAAATATGGGATGTTCGATTTGAATATAAGATATTTAAATATGCGAAATTTTTTCGCATATATTGAATTATGCGGTGAATTTAGATATGTGACTATAAAAGATACGAATATATTTTCCATAATTATTAATTATGCATCCGATTTAGATATGTATTGGTATATATGGGACAAAATTTCCAATGCAGTTCATTTGGAAACTAGTATGTACCCGTGCGATGCACGGTGGGCATATAACTTAAAACATATTGAAGTACTTATTTTAAATGTAATTAATTAAATTTAACATCTAATTATGGAAACAAAAATAAAAATCAAAATAAAATCATATATTATTCAAAACTTCTCTATACACAACATTATTTATTTGATTTGGGAGAAATCATGTTCACCACATATTAGAATCTTCAAACCCTTTCTGTTGGTGACGCGCGAAACAGCAACATATAACTGACCATGACTGAAATCTGGTTTCTTCAAGAATAAACCGACGTGTGATAAGGATTGACCTTGGCTCTTGTTAATAGTCATTGCATAAGAGACCACGATAGAGAACTGCCTTCGTTGAAACTTAAAAGGTACTCTTGCATCTGAAGGAGTTATCGTCATTCGAGGTATCAACACTTTATCATCTGCATGGTCGCCTGAAAGTATCCTACACTCTAGGATATGAGGACTATGCAACACACTTTGACACTTATAGGACGTATAATCCAAATTACTTGAGCTTTGTTGAGGAATCAAAGATGGTACATGGATTGGTGGTGATGTCATACAACCTATTTATATGAATATTTATACAATAATAAATTAATAATGTATAATTAATAAGATTAGAAAAATAATACGCACTAATTTATTAAAAAGAAATACTAAAATAAAGTATGAATTACCTTTTTTAGTATTGTATGGAGTCTGAATTATTGGTGTGTAAGAACGACCCGTTCCAAGCACTAAATTTAAAGTAATACATAACCTATTAGTAAATTAAATACAAACTAAAGTATATTATGCAATTAAAGTATGAATTGAATAACATAATACCATTTGTGACATCAGATAACGGTAAGGTCTGAGAACCATGCAACACACTTTAATATTGATAGGAGGAAATGTTCGAAGTATTATTGTTTCGTTGTGTAATAAAGGATGATCCATTGACAACGGGTGACTTCATAGAACCTGTAAAAATGAATACTAAGTGAAAATTAGGCTATAAATTGTTCATTAAATTTTTGTAAAAAAAATGGTACTTTGGTAAGTATATTATGTTAATAAATTACTAAATCTAAATGAATTAATAAATGNTAAATGTACAAAAAACTGATTGTGAACCGGCCCAATCAATATCCATTATATATGAAAAAAACTGTTTTTTCGGGCTTATCTCACAAATAATAAAATCGGCCCAATCAATATGCCTTATAAATGAAAAAACTGTTGTTTCGGGCCTGTCTCACAAATAATAAAACTGGCCCAATCAATATACTTTATAAATAAAAATAATTTTTTTTTCGGGCCTGTCTCACAAATAATAAAACCGGCCCAAAATCAATATCCCTTATAATCGAACGGTCTCAGTTAGTCAACGAAGATCTAAGGACTGTGACTAATTGTTGGGAACTATAAATGGTGTAGTTGTCCAAAAAAGTAGGGTTTTCACATTTCTTCACCTCTTCCGATTCTCTCTCTTATCGCATCTCTCTCTCTTTGCCGTTCTCATTTTCTGTCGTTATCATTTTCTGAAAAATTTGACAGGGTTTTTTAGAATTAACAGCTATCATTTTCGATCGATAATCAAAACACCATACACAGATATTATGGATATTGTGTATATGTGTTTGTAGATCGAATAGATT